GCCGGAAAATAGAGAGTACACAGGTGGAGTTATGCACACCAAGTCAGTACGCCAACTTGTGTGTTCGGTGCTGTGGAGCAGAGACTGCTGGGCCGTGCACTCAGCCAGGTGGACATGCGCACATCTATTGGCTGGAAATAACGTGCCCATTGAGCCGCGACACACGGGGGAGCATAGGACAAGTAGGACATCGCTGGGCCTCTCGTAGCAGTTGGCAGACACGGTGCATAGGAGTTTAGCCGGTGCTTGTAGACACTTAACCTGTGCGGTTTTGGCAACAAAGCCAGCGTGAGTCAGCGAGGCAGGCTCCCACACTCGGACCGGTCCTCTTTTTCTTGTTCATTAGTGATTGTGCACAGGAATTGGACTGCGATTGTGCCATGTTTGCATATAATGTAAACATATGGAAGGTCATCAAGAGTGCTGCCAAGGAAAATCTTTGTCATTTAAATGATTTGTCACACAGACGGTTGCTGTCCTTCATTTCGAACCAACGCACTCTGCTGCGTCTGGGAGATCGAAATCCGGTTTCTGATGCGCGATCCTATAATCTGAGCGGAATCCCACTCCAAGAAGTGGAAATACAGAAAGATCTCGATATCTGGATGACAGACAACATCAAACCGTCTACACAATACTGTTAGGCGGTTAAAGCTGCAACCACAAAGTTGTACGCGATCGTGCGGGCATTTACAGTTTTGGATGAAGACTGTTTCCCGAAAATCCTCCATACATTCATAAGGCCACATCTTGAATACACGATTCAAGCCTGGAGACCGTGAATGCGGCGGGATTATAATGCCCTTGAAAGGGTGCAGCGGCGGGACAAAAAGTTACTAAGAGGCCAAGGTGCACAACCATATGAGATTCGCTTAAATAACCTTAATTTCTATCCTCTAAGTTATAGGCAGTTACCCGGAGATTTGATACAAACCTTCAGAATCGTGCGTCGCTTGAAGTGCCCTCTCATGTGTGACAACATTTTCCAACTCGCCACCACAACTAATCTCCGTGGAAACATTCAAACACCTGACTTAACACCTGCTAACATTGTTTCTAATTCATGAGATTTTTATGTGAAAAATAGAGAGTTCAAAGGCGTCCAAAGCCTTTTTTCCTCAAAAATACTGACTGACTGAACCTTGGTGGTTTTAAAATTTCGCAGAATAAATCCGGTAGTTCGGCGTGCCTTCAAACACCGATAACGAACTTGAAATATGCGACAATTTAACCTTGAAACATCACTGCATCATGTGACGGTCTATATTTTCCGGACTGAAAACTTGTTAACATTGTTTCTAATTCTTGAGATTTTGATGTGAAAAATAGGGATTTCAAAGGCGCAAGCCTATTTTTTTCCTCAAATATACTTACTGACAACAGAGACCGCCGCTTTCATCGTCCCGGCTGCCCTTGTACGTTCATTCTTCACATGAACCTCTTAGATCACATGTGCATACACGAAAGGGTGCGGTAAAATGCCGCCGGCTGCACCAAATTATTATATTGCTCCGCATAAGCACCCTTAGTCTCGCAAGTATAAATCCACATCGCACACAGTCTACTGTCAATACAATCACTGAAAGCTACCTTCGCATATCGACGACCATCGAAATACGCTCCCACTGACTCAGCCGATGCATGGTTGGACCGATCACAGCCTTATCATCTCTAGGATATATGTGCGCCCTCAAGCACGCAGTTGACCTCAAGGTAAGCGTCGCCCAGATTAGTTGGATATTGCTCCATTGAATTTGCCTGTTTGTCACCTACATCACTGAATTTGTATCGCGATGTCTCATGCACTGGCAATATTAATTATGGTTTCTAATATTAGCATTAGTAGTTTTAAAATATTATTGCTAGCAGCAGCAACTAAGCCTTAGCTCTCTAGATATATCAGTTCTGTTATTTGCTACTTGTTGTCCTTCGAAATACTATTGATCTTTTTGGCTTAAGTATTACTAGAACTACTAATCGCAGTTATAATTGCAACTGTCGCACTTTCAGCGTTGTTATGGCATCACCACAAGCTCCTCCTTCGAAATATTCTAGCGCTCCGAAAAGAATATCTACTGAAAGGTAAACGGTATTCTCGTTTTTTCTTTCTCTCTCCTTCTCTTCTTCTTTCTCTTCTTGTAATACCTGCTCTTAAACGCTCGCCCTTAGCTTGTTTTATCTTTTAACACTGCCAACTGACGTATTTATCAGACACACAATCAGCCCAGTGTGTCTTGTGTGTGAAGTGGTGGACGGGGGGACTGGGAGCAAGGAGCACCGGCTCTTTCTTATACTCTATTTACGTAAATACTTGTGGGTCTATCAAGGAGGCCAGGTCGTGCTGTGGCGCACGCCTTGTCAACCACTGCGCCCATCCCGCTTCAGGCGACCAATCAGCTAGGCGGTGGCTTGATACGAGCGAGAAGCGAATGAGGTCTATCTACAGCGCATGTCTCTCCCAATTATAATCAATCGGACGCGCTTGAAGCTACCAAGGTGCGCAAAAATTCGCGGTGTGCGGTGTTGATAATTGAAGGGATAACCCGGACTACCCGAAAAG